TAGTGAAGACCCACTAAAACAACTGCCAAATGCATTCCTATCTCCTCCAGTGCTCCATTGGAATGAGAACTTTAAGGTAAGTCAATAGGAAAGTTTATCCTGTCCATTCAGAGCAATGTGGACGAGGCAAATAGTCGACCAAAGGTACTTTGACTCCAGCTATGTTATTCATGTAGCTAGAGTTGCATAACTTAGGTCAACTTTAGTCTGTAGTATATACCTGCCCAGAGTCCTATGGAGGAAAAGAGACCGATTATTTGCTTAAGAGAACCAACAGATTGATGAGATTTCCCTTAAGTAAGCCAATCCTCTAAGAATGGCTAAACTAGGACTCCCTGCTTTCTCAGGTAAGATGCTGCTATTGATAGGCATTTTATAAAATACCCTTGGTGCCACTAATAGCACAAATGGCAGAACCCTAAATTGATAGTTGCAGTCGCCCACTTGAAATTTTAGATGTCTTCTGTGGGCAGGATGAATGGCTATACAGAAGTAAGCATCCTGAAGGTTGAAAGCGGCATACAAGTCCTGTGGCCGTAGGGAGGAAATCACAGAAGCTAGAATTACCATTTTTAACCTGAATTTGCTGAAGAAGTTGCTTTGATGTCTTCAAATCCAGAACTGGGTACCATTTCCCATTTTTCTTTGATATCAGAAATAGTGGGAGTGTAACCCCTTCCCTGAGAATTCTTCTACTGGTCCAAGAGATGGTCACTAGAGGTCTCTGATCAGGGATGAGGAAAGTGTGGAACAAAATGCTATATCCCACTTCTACTATCTCTGTAACCTAACAATCTGTAATTATTGTACTCTAAGCCGCAAGAAAATGAAAAAGATGACCTCCAAATGGAATTGATATAACAACATGATCTATTAGAACTCACTCACAGCTCCCAACTGAGGAGTAAAGATTGCTGCCTTGAGGATGCTGTCAGTTGTGAAGATGATGCAGGGGAAGTCATGTTTCACTTGTCTGGAACATATGATGGTTTCTTAAAGGTTCGGAATGTCTTCACTAACGGTAAGACTTCCTAGGGTAAGTCTGAGGCTTAGCTAGTTTCCTTGTCAAAGCAGGAGTATCACCTGTTAATTCGAGTTAAGGGGTTTTTCTCGGAGTACTGCGTCTATTCTTGGCTAGTTAAATCAGGCTAGTCAATTTCCAAAATAGTGACCGGCTGCGACTATGCTAATCAAGTGTGGGATATTTAAATCTTGCGCTTCATTAGCAACTTCGGTCACCTTCATTTGCCTCCCTAGTTCAAACTAGGGGGCAAGTGTAGACGTACCCTAAGCGAATAAGTCATATTTCTCAAAAAGCAGATCAAACCCCTCAAAACAGAGGCCCTGTATGGTAACTTGCGTATCTTAAGGTATCCTGGACTCATGTAGCCAGTAAGATGTTCTCATGGCAACAAATTTGTCATAGATTCAGAGGCAGTATCTGACACATCAAGGAGCTGTCTGTTTGGAAGTATATGCCACAAATTGCTAATCTGAAATAAAACATTTACCATCTTCTGCTGTCCAGTGGGATTTTATCAGAAAATTTAGTGATGCAGTCATAATTTAACTAGTCTTATTTTTCCAGCATGGCTTGGTAGTTGGCTATTCTCATGTTATTTAGTTGGAATATATATGTTCAGTTAAAATGTGCTTTTAAATATAATTATAAAATTAAAACTACAGTATTTTCCCTAACAAACCACTTTTCAAGTACAGGAGACAGTGAAAGTTTCATGCTTTAACACACTGAAATAGATTTTCTGCCCTCAACATCCAGATACCTTGTAAATGTGAGGAATTTCTTGTAAATAGGTTGTTTCTAAAAATGTCAGTGCCTAATC